TACGGCCAATGTAACTGTATTTGAGAAATGTTTAGGCAATTGCACCATTTCAATCAGCGTATTTCAGATAACTGAACATGTACTTGAAATCGATTAATCTTTATATTTAGGGATTATGATTTTCTTTTATCATGTAATATTCTTTTTTTATAAAAAAAAAAAAACAAAACGTATACGATTTAAGTTTATAGATGAAACAAATCTAAATAATTCATCTTCTAAAATTACTATGAATAGAAAAATGTTGACGAAATTATAATCGATATTGTATGTTAGTATTTTAAATGACCTAGTAATGTATGTCATTCTATAAATACTAGTTTTACAATTTTTGACGTATGCCTTTGTGTGCGTCATACGTATAGTCGTTGAGTGTTTTTATTTAGAGAATGGATTTCGCCGAAATTAGTAGGATTTCCAGTTAGCACAGGGTTCCTTTATTGTTCACAAGTTATGACTTGCTTCAATGTAAAATGTACAAAATGAGTAAAGAACGCCTCCATTTCCATTGATTTCTTGTTGTTGTCATGTCTATTTATAGTGTTTTATTTTGAATAAATACGGGACAACATGACGATATGCAGGTAAAGGAAAACTACTAAAAATTAAGTTTTGTTATTGTTGTAAAACACATAATGTTTACGCTAGTATTTTCATACGACCGCAAAAAAATTTTTGTGGTCGTATATTGGTATGACGTCGTCGTCGTCGTCGTCGTCGTCTGGCGTCGTCCGGCGTCGTCCGAAGACACATTGGTTTTCGCACTCTAACTTTAGTTTAAGTGAATTGATCTCTATGAAATTTTACCACAAGGTTCAATACCACAAAAGGAAGGTTGGGATTGATTTTGGGGGTTATGGTACCAACAGTAAAGGAATTAGGGGCCAAAAAGGGGCCAAAAATAAGCATTTTTGTAACTTCCAGACATAACTTGTGTGTTTGTGTATGGATCTCTCTGACATTGTACCACAAGGTTCCATATCACAAAAGGAATGCTGGGATTGATTTTGGGGGTAATTGCCTCAAAATTTTAGGAATTAGGGGCCAAAAAAGGGGCAAAAAACAAGCATTTTTCTAGTTTTATGACAATAACTTGTGTGTAAGTGTATGGACCTTTCTGAAATTGTACTACAAGGTTCCATATCACAAAGGGAAAGCTGGAATTGAGTTTGGGGGTAATTGCCAAAACGTTTAGGAATATGGGGCCAAAAAGGGGCCAATAGTAAGCATTTTTCTAGTTTCCAGACAATAACTTGTCTTTAAGTGTATGGATCTCTCTGAAATTGTACTGCAAGGTACCATACCACAAAGGGAAGGCTGGGATTGATGATGGGGGTAATTGCCTCAATATTTTAGGAATTAGGGGCCAAAAAGGGAAAAAAAACCAAGCATTTTTCTAGTTTCAGGACAATAACTTGTGTGTAAGTGTATGGATCTTTCTGAAATTGTACTACAAGGTGCCATATCACAAAGGGAAAGCTGGGTTTGAGTTTAGGAATTTGGGGCAAAAAAGGGTCCAAAAAACACATTTTTCTAGTTTCCAGACAATAACTTGTGTTCAAGTGTATGGATCTCTGAAATTGTACTGCAAGGTACCATACCACAAAGGGAAGGCTGGGATTGAGTGTGGGGGTGATGAATCATAAGGGGGTTCAAAAATTTGGGGGGGGGATTTTTTTTTTTCCTTTTTTTTCTTTTTTTCCTTTTTTTTTCTTTTAAAATTTTCCATTTTAAGTTGGTTATTTCTGATTTATATTTAAAAGCGAATAATAATGATATGGTAGGAGATACACACCAAACAGGATGTGTAAATTATTATATAATAAGTATTGTGCAATAGCAAGAAATTTTCAATTGCACAGTATTGCACAATAGCAAGAAATCTTCAATTGCACAGTATTGCGCAATAGCAAGAAATCTTCAATTGCACAGTATTGCGCAATAGCAAGAAATCTTCAATTGCACAGTATTGCGCAATAGCAAGAAATATCTAATAGCACAATATTGCGCAATAGCAAGAAATTGTCAAGTGTACAGTATTGCGCAATAGCAAAAAATATTTAATTGCACAGTATTGTGCAAAAGAAGATACTTCGTATAAATTGCTTATTTCTTGACCAATTTCAATGGGGTTTTTATTCTTGAATTCTTGGGGTTCTTTAATATGCTGAATCTAACCGTGTATTTAGTTTTTGGATTTTGGGCCCCGTTTTTAAATTGGTCCACATTGAGGTCCAAAGGGTCCAAAATTAAACTTTGTTTGATTTCATCAGAAATTGAATTATTGGGGTTCTTTGATATGCCAAATCTAACCGTGTATTTAGATTCTTAATTTTTGGTTCCGTATTCAAATTGGTCTACATTAAGGTCCAAAGGGTCCAAAATTAAACTTAGTTTGATTTTAACAAAAATTGAATTCTTAGGGTTCTTTGATATGCTGAATCTAAACATGTATTTAGATTTTTTGATTATGGGCCCAGTTTTCAAGTTGGTCCAAATCGGGGTCCAAAATTAAACTTTGTTTGATTTCAACAAAAATTGAATATATGGGGTTCTTTGATATGCTGAATCTAACCATGTATTTAGATTTTTGATTTTTGGGCCCCGTTATCAACTTTGTCCACATTGAGGTCAAAAGGGTCCAAAATTAAACTTTGTTTGATTTCATCAAAAATTGAATTCTTGGGGTCCTTTGATATGCTGAATCCAACCATGTATTTAGATTTTGGATATTGGACCATAATAGGTGAATGTCCAATTTAAAATTTTCAAGTTCTTAGACCACATTCATTCTGTGTCAGAAACCTATGCTGTGTCAAATATTTAATCACAATCCAAATGCAAAGCTGTATCAAGCTTGAATGTTGTGTCCATACTTTCCCCAACTGTTCAGGCTTCGACCTCTGCGGTCGTATCAAGCTGCGCCCTGCGGAGCATTTTATTTATAAATGTATTTCCACGAACTTGTTTACTTTTAAAAAAAAATAGAAAATGTATTTCAAGTTAGTAAAAATGAGATGCATATGGATGAGGGTGTACAGAACAGAGAATAATGGACAAAATATTCAAGAAGGTCAAAACAAATAAAGGGAAAAAATCAAAGAATAGAGAAAAATAGGCCAAAAAAATAAAGAATAGAGAATAATGTGGTTCTAGAATATAGAGAATGAAGAATAAATGGGTAATATTTATAAAGTATAAAGAAACATTATTTAAAAAAAATAAAGAATACAAAAATGAAGGACCCCATCAACACCCCATGGATATATGTATCATATATATCAAAAAGACCATGCAAAGAGAAATACTTTGACATACATGTCTGCTCATACAAATGATATATTTGCTTTAATTTCGATACGACATAAAACAATACGTTTTCTTCTTAAATTTTAAAGGAAAATGTATGCATATAAGTATCAAATGGCATACAGTTCTATATCAGCAAATAAAGTACTTAATCTTACATTGTGTTTGTTTGTGAAACGAGAATTGATGATGTTAGAGTCTTTTTTAGCTCTATCCTGTGGTTGCAAAACCGACGTTCAATATACTATAAAAAGAGATTTATAAATGCGCTTTTTTAGTTTTAATTTGAAACAGTCCCCTTTCAATCATCTACGTACGTTTCCAAACAAAGTGGACCAGAGAGCTTGATTTAAGGGTGCACCACAGAATGCGAAGTCTTATAATCCCGTCTTTATACTAGGGATTCATACATATTTGAGGGATATACATTTTTGAGACATTTTGTGACTAGGTTGTCATGACGAATCATATTATCTTACGAAATACAACTTCTAAGTAATTTTGAAGCTAAAACACGCCTCCGGCTGCGGGATTTTCTCGCTGTGTTGAAGACCCATTGGTGGCTTTCGGCTGTTTTCTGCTCTTTGGTCGGATTGTTTGCTCTTTGACGCGTTCCCCATTTCCATTTTCAATTTTATTGATAGATAAAACTAGTGATATCATGACACTAGTTACCATCGAACAAGAAAATGAGAGAATATTGATATCAACAAAAAATATGAATCTGCAGTAATAACATTATTATCTCCTAGTCGCTTAAACACTCTTTGACACTGATCTTTTTTACGGACATTTTTTTCATAACAAAATGTGTTGGCATACAACCTGTATTAGAATTGATATTAAAAATTCCCTAATAGTTTGAATCGCATAGATTTCAAATGTATTCAAATTACCAAAAGTGTAGAAACATATTTCAAGTCTTATTTTGGTTTGGTTTCTGTTTACAATTTCGATACAACGATTTTGGTATATTGTCGAACAGTTTTGGCCTTTAAATGATTCTAAGAAAGAGAAGCGAGAGATACCAGAGGGAAAGTTAAACTCATAGATTTGAAAATAAACTGACAACGCCACGACTAAAAAATAAAAAGACAAACAGACAAACAAGAGCACACAAGACAAAACATAGAAAACTAAAGACTGAGCAACACGAACCCCACCAAAAACCGGGGTGATCTCAGGTGCTCCAGAAGGGTAAGCAAATCCTGCTCCACATGTGCACCCGTCGTATTGCTCATGTTATCACAAACATGGTGAATAGTCTAATTCGGTAAGACACATTCGTGAAAAGGGAAGGGGATTCTAGTTACGACATAAGGAACATATCCGATACCATCTCTGAAACGGTTATTCCATAACGGTCAACCAACTCGTGATGGCGTCCGTAAAATTTACGAAGGAATAATCTCAACTTCACCATTTGGAACTCTTGGTTTAATAGCTTCCTTGTGAGCAGCAACCCTCTATCAAGGAAATCATGATAGGAAATAAGAAATGATTTTGACAATCATCATTTGTTAGTTCTTAATACATGCCTAAGCTCAAAGCCCAAATTATTTTGGATCAAATATACGTATTTCAGCCATTACAACTACTTTTACGCTTATTCATAATTTTTTACACTTAAGAAACGGATAAAAGCACTTGTTTTGTAGCAAATATTGCTGTTTTTTTATTGTTATAGTTCGATGGCAAACATGTAGTCCGAAGTCCTGATCAATTTAAAGAGTCTATCAGGAGATGGCATGTGCAAGCGATGAACCGATGCGGTTAATAGATGCATGTAACGACTTGGATAGTCATGATATTGCATCGTTCAAATATCTTTGTCAAGATGATATTGGCCTTAATAATCTAGAAAACTGCATCGAAGTGACTGATATATTAGACTTACTTTCAAATAAGGAATCTTTATTGCATTACGTAGGACATCGCTTGCATTTGATGGAAAAACCCTGCTTGATTAAAGGACTCGGGCTGGAACTTGAAGCAATAAAAACGGCAGTTGAAGGCAACAACCGGAGTACTATAACGCCATACAGGTAAATTCTAAAACAAGAAAAACACAACCGTTACTCGTTGTAATAATAGTAAATTGCTATCTTTAAGCTTTTTATTCGTTACAATTGCGATTTTGTGTTTTTACGTTAAAAAATTGTTATTTCATAAACACCATGTATGATAAAATTGTGTGCATGTTTTAATTGGAAAAGGAGAAAAATATGCCATATAAAAATCATAACTGTTAACACCGCATCTCAAATGAACAAAAATTCAACTAGTTAAAAATAACATTACCTATCTCATTTCATCAAAAATTTCCTATCCCTGTTCATGAGATGACAATGATGATGGTATAATGGGTTATGAAGATGGTGATGTTATTGTTCTAAATTTGTTTAATTATTTTTTTAGAAAAGTTTTATTCAATATTGCACAAGACCTGGGATCGAAAGATGTAACATCGATGATAGAGAAAGCAAAAGATTGTTTACAAAATTTCACACCTGCAGTTCGTAAAATAGAAAAAAATGGAAAAAGTGGGAAAATATTTAACTTTTTCAACGTTTTGGAAGAGAAAGATCATTTATCATCAAGCAACATCTCCTTTCTATACCAACTATTGTTTGACATTAGCCGTGACGACCTTGCTAAATTATTGAAACCGCCTAAGGGTAAGTATTATGATATCAACGGAAGTTTGACATCTTGATATAGATATGGGCACAAATCATACCACAAAATTACTTTTGTTACAACTTCTATAAAAAAAATGATGTTTAATGTTGTTAAAATATGTTTGTTAGTTAGGACTTTTTTTTGCACAAAAAAACTAAAGCTTTTCTCAGTAAAACACACAAATTGCCATATGCAATTCCATCAGGTTTTCCCTTTTCTTGATCATAAAATTGAAAATGGAAATGGGGAATATGTCAAAGAAACAACAACCCAACAAAAAAGCAGATAACATTCGAAGTCAACTAATAGGTCTTCAACACAGCGAGAAAATCCCGCACATGAAGGCGGGCTTTAGCTGGCCCCTGAATAAAAATGTGTACTAGTTCAGTGAAAATGGACGTCATACTAAACTCCAAAACACATAAATGAATTAGAATTAGAAACATAGTATATTCGTAATGCATTTTCAAGATTTGGACCTTGGTATTCAACTGTTGTCTATAATTTACAATACAAAAGTAAGAATATCTGGTAAAATTGCCAATGAGACAACTCTCCAATAGAAACCACTACATGGACACCACAAGTGACATTTTTTTCACTAAATCTTGATTATATGATCATGATCATCACTCGAATTGATAAGTAAAATTTAAAGGCTTGAAGAGTTTTATTATTTTTTGGCAATAACAGGGGAATATGATGGCTCTTATTAAACCGTCTTATATAAAAAAAATAATATTATTTTTCTCGTCAAAGATAATAAACGTTAGCATAATGGAACCAAATAAGTCGAAATATTGTGTCTTGACATAAACATTTAATCATAACTGATTATTCATGTTATTTTTCGTTCTAGATTTTAATCTGAAAGACTTCTATCCTGTGAATCAAAGACAACGAGGTGAGATTAGTGTTGTCTGATGTTATCTCCACGAAAATAATTTCAATTCTAATTATACATGAGGGCAGTATTTTCAAATCCTTACATTATTTTAACAGTTCCTTGTCCAACCATTCCGTAACCAATGGTAAATATATTGATGTATTAATTACAACTAAAAATAACCCCTGTGTTCACCTTAGATATATATTTAAAATTTCGAATACAGCAGTTTCGTTTTCAAATCTTTCTCAACTTCAATTGAAAAGAATATAATAGTATATAAAATATGCTGATAATGGATGTGCTGGGCTGGAGGAGATACATATACACGAGCTCGAGTAATTTTGGAACAGATATTGAGGAGTCATATTTGCATCGGTGTGCTCTGTCAGTCTTAGACACAACCTCAAATCAGTATGTGGTATCCTAAGCAATGTATTCCCTGTTACAAATCCCCACAACTTTTATATGTATGTATTAACTTTCAGTAAATGATATTTATCAACTTATGCAAGTTGCTTTTGGTGAGTAAATGTGCATTTTACATAAGCATGTTTCGATTTGACAATTCACGGAAAAATACATGATTGTGTTCAACCTTTAACAAGTTACTGCATCCATATAATTGAGTTTTACTAGTAACTAAACTGTGTGTAACATGATTGTAAATATTTTGGATGAATGTACTTAAAAAGAGGCTAAAGATATCAAAGGAACATTCAAACTCATAAGTAGAAAATAAACTGACAACGCACTGGCTAAAAAAGAAAAAGACCAACAGACAAACAACAGTACACAACACAAAACATAGGAAATCTAAGACTAAGCAACACGCGTAAAAACACCACAAAAAACTCGGGTCGATCTCAGGATTAGTTTTAAGTACAAATGTAACTTTTAACATTGAAGTAGTAAATTCAATCATATTCGTCACACAAATGTGCTCTTTATAGCATACATAATAAAGAAAACTTGACAGTTGAATTTCAATAGAAAGATTGGTGATATCAGGACCACTTGCGAGATAAACATTTCAAACTTTGTACCCTCTCTCTAAATAATTGTCATCAGTTATTAGTAATAATTTGAAATTATTTTGAAATAAATGTAGATGGAAACAAGATAATTTTGTACTCACAATATATAGGAATGCACACAAAGGATACCATGGATTGCAAACAAATATTAAACAACACATAACACAAACAAATAAAAACATACACGCGCAATACAATTTGTCTAGTATAAAGATGTAAAAAAGTAACAAAACCATTAATATATTCGTAGGAAAATGTTTAATAATCAACAATACCAAATTTGAAGACGATCTTCTAGACAGAAAGGGTTCTAATTTCGATGCCGGTAAGTACATTTTTATTTAATTTCTTGTTTTGTGTTCGGTGTCTTGACTTCCGGAAAAATGTTGCATTCATATATTATCAGATTTATTACTTTAATCTGAAGATAAAGAGATGTGTTATGATTTTGAATGAGACAACTATCAAACCAATGTCTTCAACGATGGGATAAAACCCCAACGGTTTAATGAAGCATGCATTCAGTATTTTGTTGGCAATGAAAAGAGAAAACTTTTTGTGTATTTGAATGTTTATCTTGGGCTAGATTAAGCTATTGGTTCTTTTATAAACAGTATGGCTGATGAATATACGAAGAGAATTTCGAATTGATACTAATTTTTGTTATCGCTGTCACATCATAAAGTTTTCGATCTGAACGTGTTTGTAATTTTCTATTCAAAATGCTTTTCTAAATCAACATATTCGATTTATCTTTTATATATTGAAGCATTATCTACAATCTATTGCCAAATCTTATGCAACAGAGTGTTAAACAAATCTATGAACAGTTTACCTGTTTCTACTGTGTTTTTGTTGTTGATTAAACATATCGATAATTTTCAGAGGAACTCTCAAAAACATTCCATCAGCTGAATTACCAAATCATGACATGTGGAGATCTTCGAGCTGAGGAGATACTTGATTATCTGAATACCGTATCAAAGCTAGATCACAGTGATGGCAGTTCTCTTGTAGTCTGTATATTATCCCATGGAAGTCTACGTACAGTTTGTGGAGTAGATGGTTTACACATTCCATTAAGAAACCTTACTGAAAAATTTACAGCATCAAATTGTAAAAGTTTAGCGGGAAAACCCAAATTATTTTTTATTCAGGCATGCCAAGGAAAGAAGGAACAAATTCTTCCTCGTAAGTATATTTGTTAAAGAACAACAGGGGTCTGAATTAAAATCGATGTAATTCTTTAATTATTAGTCAAAATTAAGGTTATGTGAGGCTTGTTTCAAAAACGCAATAAAAAGTTTCGGTCATGGAGTAATTTCAAGCTTCAGGTTGTGAAAAGCTTCAGATTTTGCCTCGATTATTTCTGTTGTTCCATTATTTTCATCTTATAGTTGATGTGTATCCCTCTGTTTTTTGGTTTGTAACCCGGTTTTGTTTACTCTCACCCAATTAATGACTTCTGAACACCGGTATACTACTGTTGCCTTTATTCATCCATTTATTTATAATAGATAATTTCTGATACAAAATTTTAGATGATAATTCTTATACACTGCTTTCAAAAAAGGGACTCAATGTCTTGCTTCAAACAAAATAAGTAAATTTCTTACACATCATTTCGTTATGAAAAATAGTATTTCGTTACTTTTACAGATCGTAATAATGAGATAGAACACCACTTTCTTCATTTATGTGAAAAAGTCTATTAAATAAACAGTCATTTTTTTTCTGCAAAATTTAAGAAGTTGTCAATTTTTCAAAAAAATTGGCGGTCACAACTGCTTATACTTTTTATATAGTCTGAAAACAGTTTTACTAAGTAATGGGTAATAGCACAGTGCACAATGTATTGCACAAAAACTCCAATTGAATATAAATTCAAATCATATAACCAATTTTAAGTTTTTTGACTACATTTATTCAGTGTCAGAAACCTATACTGTGTCACTTATTTAATTACAATCCAAATTCAGACCTGTATCAAGCTTGAATATTGTGTCCATTTTTGCTACAACTTTTCAGGGTTGGACCTTTGCGGTCGTATCCAGCTGCGCTTGCCGAAGCAGTTTATTCTTATATCATTGGCTTGTAAAATATCTACTTTGAGCGTTACTAATGAAGGTTAATCCAGAAAACTTCCGAAGCTGCTGGTGGACTTTCAGTCTACATGGGTATTATCAACACAGTAGTCAGTACTTCGGTCTGTCTGTCTGTCCGTCAGTCCGGCTTATCAGTTTTCCAGACTTTTTTCTTCGTACTTGAAGATATTGATTTGCTATTTGGTGTATATTTTTTATCATGACTAGTTACAGATTAAGTTCGAATTTTGTTCCGGTCTGATGATTGTGTGCAGATTAACGGTCATGAACTTAGAAAATTCACTCAAAAAATCAGTTCTCCTCACTTTATTTCGTCATGCTTTAAGATATTGATTTGATGATTGATATATAGTTTTGTTATAAGTTTCTGATTAAGTTTGAATTTTGTTCCGGTCTGATGATTTTGTGCAGAGTAATGGTCATTGGAAAATTTACTTAAAAATTCAGTTTTCTACAGTTTTTTTCGTCATGCTTGAAGCTACTGACTTGTTATATAGTTTACATCATGACAAGTTATAGATCAAGTTATTGATCAAGTTACCATTTTGTTACAGCACAGTGAATTTCTAATCGGTAGGAGTTTTTGTATGGCCATGCAATACTCTCAGAATGCTGTTTTTTTCATTTTTTTTACGACAGCAACATTTTTTGCGTTCGTAAATGTATTATGTTATAGTGATGTCTGCGTCATCATCCAAATACATTTTAGTTTCCAGACAATAACTTGAGTATAAGTGTACTGATCTCTGTATAATTTTTTTCTTGTGACACATGTTGCAGGTCAATAACGTGTGTAAAGGTGGATGCATCTCTATGAAATTGATCACAAAGTTTCGTACCTTTAAAATGAAGGTTGCAATTAATTTTGGAGATTCAATTTGGGGGTTATGACCATAACCGTTTAGGTGTCTACACAGTACTTGTTTAACACTGCGTATAAAATGCTTATTTCTTGACCAATTTCAATGGGGTTTCATTCAAAGTCTTGATTTCTTGGATTTCTTTATTAAGGTGATCTAACTGTATATATATGTTTGGATTTTGGGCTCTGTTTTTTAATTAGTTAGCAGTAATGTCAAAAAGGACGAAATTAAACTTGGTTTGATTTCATCAATAATTAAATGATTTGACTTCTTTGATATGCTAAATATATCCATGTATTGTGATATTGGACAATGATAGGTAAATGTCCAATTCGAAAGTTCTTAGATCACATTCATTCTGTGTCAGAAATACATGCTGGTTCAAATATGTAATGACATAAATGACCGATTTCATTTTGTACTAATATCACTATTTATAATTATGCTGATGATAACACTGTATCATATAGTGATAATGATATAGATGAAGTTGTTAAAAGTGAACTAATGTCTTAAAACTGATAAACTGATTTTCGATAAATTTAATGAATGTTAAACCTAACAAAATTCCAGGCTACAACCATTGGAAAAAAAACCCAAATAAACATAATTTGACATTCAGTACAAATGGAACACACTTTCTTGTGAAGAAAATGTTAAACTTCTTCGAATAACTATAGAATCGGACTTAAACTTTAACAATCATTTATCTGAAATATATATAAAAAAGGTATCAGGACAATTAAATATTCCAAAACGAATGGGTAAATATTTAAACAGACTAGGAAGGTTAACATCATACTATTCATTCATTCTTTTGCATTTTGACTAAATGCTAGTAATTTGGCACTACTGAAGCGCGAATAGAAATAATTAAATATGGACAAATTCAAGGAAGATCTCTTAGATTCATCTACGAAGATTATAATAGTTTATTCAAAATACTTTGAAGTTCTTAAAAATGAGAACAATAAAAAGCTATTGCAACATAAACATTTTAAAATGATTCCCCCAAAAAGATATCTTCATGATTTCATTATTGATATTTAAATTCAAAAGTATAATTTTAGATCACAGGAAACAGAAGTACTCCCAAGAGTCAGAACTACCAGGTATGATATGAGATAGTTTCGCTATAATGCTGCACAAATCCGGAATGAGCTACCTAACCATTGTCGGATGGAAACATCTTATGACTAATTAAAAAAATGGTACAAACATGGGATAAAAAAAAACAGCTCATGCCAGTGCAGTGCAAGCATATAGTGCTATCTGTTTGTGCTTTCATGTTTATGTTATTTTATTCTGAATTTTGTTTGATTTGTTTAGCTTTTTAGTTTGATATTACCTGTTGTGCTTATCATTCCAACTTTTACTGTGATAAAAGATATACCTTATTTTTGTATACTATGATTTTCATCTTTTATATGTCATTGATAATATGCGCGCTGTATGTTTAAAATTGTATTTCCCCTTACTTTTGTGTTTGTGTATATTTCGTCACGCAGTCGATTTGAAAAGCACACTGGACCTTGTGTTTGTGTAGTGTATTGAATATCGACTTAGAATTGAATTAAACTACAATCCAAATTCAGAGCTTCAAAATTATGTCCATGCTTCTCTCTTCGGTCGCACCAAGCTGTGCCCTGTTCTATTACATTTCATTGTAGTTTAACTCGAGTCTTATTATTTTCTGCATGCTAGGAACAAGACAAGTAGAGAGTGCTAGAAATGATATTATCGTCATGGACACAGACGAGAATGAAACTGTTGCAGACGTCATTCCTGAAGAAAGCGACTTTTTACTAGCGTTTTCTACTGCACCTGGATGGTCTTCGTACAGAGATCCCGATAAGGGATCGTACTACATACAAAAGCTATGTGAACAAATACAAAAAGAGTGTATGAGGTAAATTATACGTTTTCAATTTTCATATCTCAAGTGGGCGTGATAAGTTGATCGGGTTCTATATAATAATCCTAATTTCCCATGTTTTGTTTGGGTAGCTTAATATGGAATTATTCTTTGTCATATTGCAATAAGAATTCTTACATGTTCTGTTATAACGTTTTGTCGACTATTGAAAAAAAGGTTGCCTATGCGGTCTCTAAAGTGAATGTAGATTTCACAATCCGGCATATGCAGAAGGAGGCACAGTAAATGGCAACATCAACCAACCAATTGACAATAACTGTACAATTCAATTAAGTGTACTGAAGGACAATTGACCAAGATGATCTACTTCCGTGTCTAAATTACATTTAGGCTGTATATAATTCTGAATAAAACATATGAACACTTGCTATCACGATAAGGACATTAACACCATTTCTTTTTATGTATTTTCTTTATTCAATTTGAACACTAGACTACGTGGATAACATTTCAATTGATTAAGCAAAAACTCCGAACTTAGATGTTAAGATTCGTATACTACAATGATCAATCTATACTACAATATAAACAAAATATTTTTGTATGCCCCCACCGTAGCGGAGGGGGGATTAAGTTTTACCCTTGTCCGTCTGTACGTACGTATGTACGTCCAAAAATTGGTTTCCATTCTCTAACTTTAGTTTGCCTCAACCAAATGTGAAACTTATACACAATGCATATTACCACAAAACACAGATCAAGTTTGAATTTTGGTAGCGTCACTTTTACCGTTCTAGAGTTATGCCCCTTTACAAATGAAAAATTGCAGAATTATTTGTTTCCGTTCTCTAAAAGAGGGACGAAAGATACCAGAAGGACAGTCAAACTCATAGATCGAAAACAAACTGACAACGCCATGGCCAAAAATAAAAAGACAAACAGACAAATAATACTAACCCAACCAAAAACTGGGGGTGATCTCAGGTGCTCCCACTACAAACCAGTAAAAGTCTGAAATGGCCTATATCTGTACTCGACTGTACTGATTTTTACTCGACCAGTCTGAATTGGTCTGAATTTTACTTGACATTACTCGACCCCAGTCTTAACCATACTCGACTGTACTGATTTGTACTTGACCTTTATCTTTGCCATTGAAAATATTCTGAACTATTACTCGACCAGTCTGAAACAGTCTTAACCCATTCTCGACCTGTACTCGACCTATTTTTTTCAGTCTTAACCATACTCGACCAAAGGTCTGAACAATACTCGACCAGTCTGAACAATACTTGACCAAATAACCTCTACTTTTTCTAAATTTTAACTTTTAAAATAAATTGCTTTTTAACTGACATGACAACAGCCACAATAAAATAAAGATATATTATAACAGATTTTTACATTCTTACATGATTCTCAGATTTATCGAATAGAGATAGTTAAATCAAATTATCTTATATAATAATTTAATTATATTAATTTTAAAGTTTTAGAGTTTTGTTAAAAAAAGATTTTCTTTTACCCAAAAAGCACATCTATACTGAGGGTAATTTAACCTTATTAAGGTGCTTCTTGTTTGGCATGTGTTTTTTTTTTTTTTAAATTAATTTTCCTAAATTCCTAAATAATAACTACATAGGTTTCATGGTTACATACAAAATATGTACAATAGTTATATAATTATCTTTTTAATGAGGCAACAACAGCCAACAAAATCACTGAAATTGTTTAACCTTATTTTAGAAATATATCTATTATTATAATTTGGGATATATATAATATATATCAAAAAGGGATAAAAATTTAAGAAATTAACAAAATTGTTCTTCTGATTAGTGGTGAAGTATAAAGTAATACCTCCTGCTTGGGGAAACTCATGAAAAAGATCACACCTGGTCAGAGAGTATTAAATTCTAAATAACATTCATTCAAAATTGCAACATCCTGTGAAACATAAATCGCAAGGCCTTTTGAATTCACTAGATAAGTAATACACAAGTTTAAGAAAAATAGGGCTTTCTTTTACCTGTAAAACACACATGTTCTGAGGTAATTAAACCTTATTAAAGTGCTTCTTGTATGCCATGTCTTTTTGACAAAAATTATTTAAATTTAATTGAAATAAATTTTTACTGTAACTTTGGAACACATTTCCTTTTTTAAAAGTTTATCACAGGATTACTATGGAAGTTCTATTATCATGATTATATTAAATTCTTGGTTTAACAAAACAAAGGTGTCATTTTTCAAATTTATTAAGTTGCTTTATATGCTATTTTATATATATTTTAATAAAAAAAATGTTCACTGCATTATTAACTAAACTCAACTGACACCATAAATCTATACTAGGCTTAAGTTAATGGTGAAAATTGTCCAGTAACCATAAAATATATCTGAAACATTCAAAAAATTTTGAATAACATTGAAAATATTAGTCACAATTCAGTTTTGAGATTATTTGATCAGCTTGTTTTTTTTTTATTTTAAAGGTGATATATATGTATGTATATAAGTGCTGATGAATATGGTGATGAAGTTATATTATGTTTATTGTGAAATTCTGGTTTCAATGCTATATTGAATACATTTTTAATTTCAAATTGTTGTTCAAATTTCTAGCCAGGGGAACTAGCTGTTGTTAAAAACAGTTCCTAAATTGATGAAATACAATAGATAGATACAAAAAATAGGTCTAGATTGGTTCAGACTAGGTCAAGTATGGTTCAGACTAGGTCGAGTATGGTTCAGACTAGGTTGAGCATGGTTCAGACTAGGTCGAGCATGGTTCAGACGCGTATAAAATGGTTAAGTACTGGTCGAGTACAAGTTCAGACGGTTAAGTATGGTTCAGACTACAGTCGAGTATTACCAAGTAAATTTCAGACCAATTCAGACTGGTCGAGTAAAAATCAGTACAGTCGAGTACAGATATAGGCCATTTCAGACTTTAACTGGTTTGTAGTGTCCGGAAGGGTAATCAGATCCTGAGCCACATGTGGCACCCGTCGTGTTGCTTATGTTATTACAAATCCGGTAAATAGTCTAATTCGGTAGGTTACATTCATGAAAAGGGAAGGATATTGTAGTTACGACATAAGGAACATATCCGATAACATCTCTGAACGGTTATTCCATAACGTCAACCAACTCGTGATGGCGTCCAAAATTTTACGAAGGGATGATTTCAACTTCACCATTTGGAACTCTTGCTTTAATAGCTTCCTTGTGAGCAGCAATCCTCTATCAAGGAAATCATGATAGGAAATACAAGCCCGGGAATATCGTATCAATTGGGAGATATATACTCCGTACGCAGGCGCTGCTGGAATGTTGCTACATAGAACTGGAAAGTTCACAATTTGGAAGCTGAAATTATCTCTTTCGTCGTAAAGCTTTGTTTTCAACCGACCCTCATCGTCAATTTCTAGATGTAAGGCAAGATATGAGTCAGACTTAACTGTATCTGTAGTATCCTTTATCTCTAGTTCGATGGGATAGATTCGTTCAACATAGTCACCAAATTTTGTATTATTTAGTGAGAGAACATCATCTATATAGCGGAACATAAAGTTAAAGGATATTGCTAACTTCTTATCTTTCTTCCTAAGAAGTTCATGTATGAAGTCAGCCTCATAATAATAAAGAAACAAGTCGGCAAGAAGAGGGGCACAATTGGTTCCCATTGGAATTCCGACAGTCTGTTGAAAAACACGTCCTCCAAACGTAACAAATATGTTGTCAATCAAGAAATCAAGCATCTTGATAATGTCAGTTTCAGAGAATTTTTTTTTTTTGAATCAGACTGATTCTTTACAAAGTAGGAGTTATCCCTATCCAAGACAAGATACTTGTATCTACGTTCGCCATTCTTTTTAATGAAACAAAGTAATACCAACTCTTTCAATTTGTCTTTTAGTTTGGAATGGGGAATACTTGTGTAAAGTGTAGAAAAGTCAAATGTTTAAATACTATTGCAAGATGAGAGAGTCTTAGATTGTATGTACTCTAAAAGATCTTTGGAATTTTTTAGCATCAACATCTGATTCACGCCACCTCTAGATAAGGCAGGTTCACAATAACTTTGGAGCCCGGCTGATAAAATAGATGTTAATAATTTAGAAAGAGGTTTCGTGGAGCACTTGGAAGACCCAGCAATATACCGTTGTTTGTAAGAACACTTATGTAGTTTAGTTATCCAATACAGTGATGGAAGATCCAGTTCTTCATCTTTGGTTGAAATTCCAAAGGAACATAGAATATGCCTATGATTATCCAGGATTTCCTCTTTGGTAAGTGTCGTGAGGGTTTATGTTGAGTTTCCAAATGAATTGTCAATACCTAATTCATTTATCAAGCAGTTTATGTAATGATATTTACACACAAAAACGATGTTGTTTGGGGCTTTATCTGCGGGGACAACAACATATTTGTCATGGAGGTAGGACAAGTGTTTTGCAACATTTGGGTCTTTAAAAATTGACGTAGCGTGGGTATTGATAGACCCATTTAGTTTCTTAATTCGGATTTGTATCAACGACCTCACAGCCTTAATCTATTCGGAAAGAGTATCTAAGTCTTCTTTCTCGCGTTTAGCACATTGCCTAGCATAATCCTCGACTGAATCCATCAGTATTTTGAAGTTGTATTTCCAATTGATGGATTTAGGCTCACGATATTTCGGAACTTTGGATAACAAATTTCGCAGGGAAGTGTTATTGACAATGTTGAGATCGAGTTATGCCCCTTTACAAATGGAAAAATTGCTGAATTTTTCGTTTCCGTTCTCTAACTTTAGATTGCCTCAACCAAATGTAATGAAAGTAATACACAATGCTTATGACTAATAAACACAGATCAAATTTGAATGGAAAAATTGCTGAACTTTAGTTTGCCTTCACCAAATGTTATGAAACTTATACACAATGCTTATTACCACAAAACACAGATCAAGTTTGAATTTTGGTGGCGTCACTTTTACCGTTCTAGAGTTATGCCCTTTACAAAAAAAATTCCTGAAATATTTGTTTCTGTCCTCAAACTTTAGTTTGCCTGAACCAAATGTTATGAAACTTATGCACAATGATTATTACCACAAAACTCAGATCAAGTAGAAATTTGGGTAGCGTCACATTTACAGTTCTTGAGTTATATCCTTTTATAACGTTATATACAAGCGGGGTCATCATCTGTGTGCCATGGACGCATGCCCCATTTATTTATAACTGTTTTAATTATTTGAGAAATTATGTGTTTGTATCGGACAACAAAAAGTCGACTCTTACTTTGTTCATCATAGTTTGCCGTTATCAACATGTTAATTTTACCTTCAGTTTTCAGAAAAGTTAATTATTACGAATATATTTTTAGGCACCACTTGCTTGATATACTAACAGATGTAAACAACAGAATTAGCAAATGTGATATACCAATTAAAGATGGCCAGATAGTGAAAACCGTGCCTTCTCATTTTTCTTCTCTAACCAGAAAACTTTATTTTTTTCCAGAAAATATTCGGTAATTGGTACCATCTGCAAATTTGCAGTCAAAGAGTTTTATGACTACCACTTATTTGATATTTTTACAGTGTTTTTTTTATGTATGCTGGTAAATTGAAAGCAACCATAAATCATTTTTATCTGTACATCAAATTTTTTAAGAACTGTCTCTTTGGGTTGAAAGGAAAGGATCGAAATGGCAGCCATTAATTGTCCCATGAAATGTCAAAAACTCTCAAATTCAATAATCAAGCAAATTTATGTTTTGTTTTTTTAAGGGGGTGGAAGGAGGGGAGGAGGGGTTAAATCATTAAAATGATTTAAAACGATTACGAGGTTAAATTCTAATGAGTGAATTTTATTTCAGTAACATATACATTACGACATAATTGATCGAAACGTTCTTTTAACATTATTGCTTATGTTTGAAATTTAAATGTGAAAAGCAGACCTTCTGATATAGATAATGTCTTTTCATACGACCTCGTTTGGCAAACTATTATACGAAAACTTTTAAATGTTATTTAGGCATTTTTCTTAATTTTTTAAGCATTACTGAAATATGACAATCAACATTCAGCCATACTATATTCGGTATATTACATTTTTGTATACTGTTAATTGACAGATTAGTAACTTGTAGGAATCTTTTGAATGATATTTGATAGATTGAGAATTCTTTGCAATGTTTAATTCAGGAGGTCGCAATCATCTGTTTGCTAACAAATTGATTAAGCAAAAATAAGGCATATAAGACCACTGAACAGCAACCCAAAAACAAAATCCCACTAAGACAGTTCAACATCAAACTAATTTTCTATAAATTAACTTGTTATACAAAATACCAAGTTTTAAATCGTCCCTAATAATGTTCCTTTTGGTCCTTGTTTGTTTTGTTACTTGAACACCCTTGGTTTTCAAATATTTGGCTTCGAACGTTCCTGATGAAGAAAAATCCAGACGTATAAAACATTTCTTATTTTAATTAGTCCCCTATCGACGAAGTGGAAGGGGACTTTAGGTTTGCATTCCGTCCGTCTGTCCGTCTGTCCATCTGTCCGTCTGTCCATCCGTCAGTCCGGCAAATCAGCTTTCCACACTTTTTTTCTGGTATATAGTTTTATCATGACAAGTTATAGATCAAGTTCAGATTTTGTTCCGGTCTGATGATTTAGTCTAGAGTTATGGACCATAACTCTGAACCATATCTAATGTTAGAGTTCTATGTTAAACCATATTTCTGTACAAAGGGAGATAACTCATTTTTTAAAAGACATTCTTTGTTAAATTATTTGAAGAATTTTTTGAAAGGTTTGTTTGTTTTATAGTATAAACTAATTTTTTGAATGCTATATATATAAAAAAAAAATATGAAGAAAAATCCTTTAATTAAATAATAATCTATTTTTATTAATGTTCATATTTCAATACATTACATTGTGTAGATAAAAGTTGTTGACATTTTATAGATAAGTTACAAATCTATATTAGTTTGTGACAATTGAAAGAAAAAAATATTTGGAACTATTAATTATATCTGATTATAATTTGAAAATAGATATACAATGTATTACATCATATCTAATTTTAGAGAACTATTAATCATATCTAATGTTTTTTCATCATGCTTATAAGATATTGATTGATAAATGGTATATAGTTTTATCATGACAAGTTACAGATCATGTTAAAATTTTTGTTTTGGTCTAATATTTTGTGCAGAGTTATGGTCCTTGGACTTGAAAAATTCACTCATATAATCAGTTTTCCACACTGTTTTTAGTCATGCTTGAAGATATTGACATGCTATTTACTTTTGTTTACACCATGACAAGTTATAGAACAAGTTAGCATTTTGTTCCAGTATAATGAATTTTTATCAGGTAGGGGACTATGTATTGCCATGCCATCCTCTCAGAATGCTTGTTTATAAAATGTTTTTACTTCATTTTCAAAGCACTGGTCGATACTGCTGCTTGTAGACTATAAGTCCAAGGTGTCTTGATCAATAGTCAATGCTGCGGTAATGACATGGTTTATAACAAACCTTTCTTAAATTGTCCGTGTATGAATTATAAGTCCCTCAGGCAAAAGTGACATAATTTGGATTTGGCTATCATTTTAGGTCCTTTTTGCTAGAAAAACATTTGTGATTTTTAGCGTTCCAGATGAGGGTCAATCCAGAAAAGCGCTTCGGACGCATACAATGAAAACAAAGTTATTTTCATATTTTTTAGTAAAGTATAGTGACTGTATGATATCAAAAGCATGATCTTTGTACATATCTTGTTATGCATTTTTATGTAGTGAAAAGACCTCTGATATATTTCATTTAACTTTCTATAATCATTCAATAACTTTTTGTCTATCAGAATTTGATGCCTTAACTGAACACCAAATCTCTAAAATTTCAAAATACAATTGCAATATTTATCATACGATTTTCAAATATTATGGTTAATTTCAAACTAAGGATACAGTTCTATAAGGGATATAATCATGCATATATCAGTGGTATGTCCAACTTCATAAGACTTAAGTTACATTTTTTTCAGACACCGTAAACCAATATGAATGATGGCAGCAATTGTTTTTTATTTATGATTTTTATATCTTTGTTTTCATACTAATTGAATGTATATTTTTTTTTTATTCTATCAGTTTAATACATGTTATAAGCGGCATACTTAATTTAACCTTTTACAGCCAATTTCACGTACAATTTCCCTACTTTGTCATGTATCGGCATACAGAAAGATTGACTTTAACGATTGCCAAAAATATTTATTACCAATGTCGCGACCAGAACATTAAGCGATATAGTCTCCTGGTATCCCGCGTTTATTATTGGCAACCGGTTGTATTCAAATTACCGATAACGTTTCAAAATACTTTGGGGTCTTCATTGCAGTCCGCGTTTACGTTATTAAAATACAAAACAATACAAAAACTATACCATGTATACGTTAAAGCGTAGATATAATATTTCAGGATATAAACAAAATTGCTTTATATCATGTGTCATATTGATTTATTCAAAATCTGTTTGTTGTTCCTATTGGGTTTCATTTATACTTATGATGAATTTAGAAAAACTATCACTATAACGTGTTTCAGTACAATTTTATTCATGTACTATGTTTATTCAATTTGTTTCATTTTAGTCGGACAGGCGCTTTAATAAATAATTATCATTTTCTATTCAAAGATAGTATCATTTGACATTAATTTAAAGTGTTGTGTTTTATTTATAATTGTTTACATTGTTATCGCATAAATTCACAAAATCGGCAGCTATACGTAGCATACATTTTTACTATCTATAAGGAAGCAAGCATGCACAAATAAAACCCAAACTTTTTTATTCCTTGTATCGTCCAAAGTAATTATGATATATGGTATAAATGTACATATAGCATGTAGATAGGTATGTTTTTACGACTTTTGATGGCAAAGTGAATTCCTTTCTACAAAACTGACAAACGCTTGATTTGAGGTAGAGGCAGGCAGACTATGGAAGTGAAGTCATCTTGGTAATAGTTGATAATAAATAAATCAGGATTCTCGCCAAAAAAAACAGATTACAAATCTAAAAAAATCCACAAAATAGGTTTGTCTAGTATAAAGTGAGAAATTCTCGAGAAATAATTCAATTATTTCCAAGCATTGTCTAAAATTGCGTGAAATTATTAACATCTGACATTAGGTACGAAAACAATCAAGAGATTCATAGTAAAAGTGTGGTGTTCATTTTAGGATTTATATATTTCCATCAATCTTATCTATTTCAATGTTATATAGCAATGTTAACACTTAATTTTTCTTTATAAGCCATGTATCTTAAATGACAATATTAAACTTTGAAAACAAACACGTCTTACATCTATATTCCATATATCTGTAGAATGAAATGGATATTTTAACACTCTGAAGTATCCAAGTACACCCTGAGGCGAAGGCAAAGGGTGTAAAGGTTACTGAAGGGTGTTAAAATATCCATATCTACGAATATGAAGATATGAATGTAGATAACAAATGTATCCCCGGTCTTAGACCAAATCTATCGATTTTTAGAGAAAGTTAACCACAAAGTGTAACGTGAATTCAACCTTTTTTTCATTATTTAAAAATGTTTTATTGAAATTTGGTTATTTGACATATTTTTTACCTGTGGTAGATCCCTTCAATTAGTCAAATATAAGACTTTTTTTAACTGAGAAAGAGAAGCTGGAATGAGTCAAATTTGGCGCTCAATGTTGTGAGAGTGTCAAACGATTGTTTCCTGTACTTTTGTCATATGTACAAAATGGGAACAGATAAACTTAAATAAGATTTAGAATGGGAATGGGAATGTGTCAAAGAGACAAGTTTTCTCTTGATTTCAATTCAATTTTTACAATAAATTTTATCTTATGGATATATATAACGTTTCAGCATTGACTTTGTATTTTGATTTCAAACATGTTTAGGGTTCCCAAACGTAAAATATTGAATTTCATGACATGAGTATACCAGTGACAAAAAAATGCATGTGGTTTTGTAAGCTTGGATCTCATGTTTTTGTTTGTAAATTTTCTGTAGTTGTTTTTTCATGTAGAAAGTTTAATCCAAGTGACATTAATAGAACTTTATTGAACCATTGATTGTTTATCTACATATCCCTTTTGATTTGCATCTATTAACAATCCAATTGAATTGAATTTTCACAAATTTAGAGATGTATATTATGTTAGATATTAGTGTTTTGATAAAATTATGCAAATCTCAATAAACAGTAACATTTTAACCCCATTTAAAAGTTTATTTTTATATGTATAATACAAATTATGCAGATACCTATGAATTTTATTACAAAATTGCAGTATGCAATCTATTGATTTTCCTGTTACAAAAAAAGACACTTACAGTTCATAATCATTTTCGCTGTGAATGCAGTATACGTACACAGAGATCCACAAAAACGGCATTCATGTTCAATGGCATATCTGGTTCGAAACATTTTGTCAAAACTCTCATAACCTATGAATGCTAAACGTTCACTTGTTTCCTGTATTTGCAGGTGTTCATTTACTGTATAGGTTATATGGAATAATAATGAAGATAAAACTATATTTTCTCCAAACTGTGACACACAAACATGAAGTATGCTGCAATTATTTGATTGCATTCTTAAAAAGCAATAATATACAGATAAGTACAGTATCTAAACATTTCAATACTTATGTTGTCTAGTTCTAAGAACGATATTCCTATAGGGATTACAAATAATATTTTCAAGCAAGTCCAATTTAAGTTTTCAACAGAAACCACGTATTAAGGCACACTAGAAAACAAGTTTCGTAAGGTGGTTTAAGTGCATCATTGCTTAATTTTCAAATTTACATAATGGGGTATTATTTAAAAGCAGTGGTAGTTAAAAATGTCTGAAACGACTTCAATACGAAACTGCACAGGATTTCGGTGATTTTTTAAGTCAAATTAGTTTTCTTCTATTGTGACAAAAAAATGGGATAGTTCATTCATAAACAATTTTCTTTAAATCAATAACAGCAGCATTATATCTTTAGGAGAAAATTACATGCCTTTGTGGATTATTTGTGTACATTGCTTTCAGTGATGTGTGATGCCATCAGAAAGTGTCTGTATTTCTATTTTTGTTTAAATGCTAATATGTCAGAAACATCTACCTGATTTGTCTTATTATTTGAAATGTATTTATGCAAAGGGTATATGAAAACAATTGTAACTGTTAAATGAACTGTCATATTATCTTTTCCTTTCAATAAGTATGTTTATGAAAGCCAAATATACTTAAAAGAATACCTATCTGATTCCTCAGAACTGTGAACTCTAACCATGCTCAAGAAAGAACATTTAATAACATACGATTGATAAGTGTCCAGAACACAATTAGTGGTCTTCATTGTTCGTGTGACAAGATGAACAGGTGATGTGTAATGCAATTATTTCTAACAAAGTATTTCAAGTATGTTGTCCTCTAGACAGTTAAACATAAATAATTTAATGGAAATTGATTGACTTATTACTAGATTCAATTCTTTTTCAATCATTTTATAAACCTTATTGGATATTAGTTATCAATATTTGCTCAAACTTTGTTATATCATGTTGTTTTTTGTTGTTTTTTGTTTTTCTTAAAGCAAAAATTGCTCTAGAAAGAGTTTTACTCACACTTAACATGCAGTAGTTACTGTTTCGTCATGTTGTTGTAATGTTGTAATTATATGTAATGGGCTAGATGTATAGGGGAGGGTTGAGATATCGCAAAACACGTTTAACCCTGCTTAATTTTTATACGACCGCAAAAAAATTTTTGTGGTCGTATATTGGTATGACGTTGGCGTCGTCGTCGTCGTCGTCGTCGTCGTCCGGCGTCGTCGTCGTCGTCGTCGTCGTCCGGCGTCGTCGTCGTCGTCGTCGTCGTCCGGCGTCGTCGTCGTCGTCGTCCGGCGTCGTCGTCCGAAGACGCATTAGTTTTCGCACTCTAACTTTAGTTTAAGTGAATGGATCTCTATGAAATTTTACCATAAGGTTCAATACCACAAAAGGAAGGTGGGGATTGATTTGGGGTTTATGGTATCAACTGTTAAGGAATAAGGGGCCAAAAAGGGGCCAAAAATAAGCATTTTCTAGTTTCCAGACAACAACTGTGGAACGGTGTATGGATCTCTCTGAAATTATACTACAAGTTTCCATACCACAAAGGGATGGTTAGGATTTGCTTTGGGGGGTTATTGCTCAAACCGTTTAAGAATTAGGGGCAAAAAAGGGGGAAAAACAAGGTTGTCCTCATTAATGGACAAATACTTTAGTACAAAACATAATTTAAAGCAGTGTAAGGGAGATAAATCAAATACATCATTGAAATTATCTCCCTTACACTGCTTTTAAATTATGTATAAAGTAATGGTTAATGAACAATTAAGATAATTTAAAACAGTGTAAGGGAGGTAATCCAAATACAACGTTTTGGTTACTTCCCTTACACTGCTTTTAAATTATGTTTAAAGAAATGCATATTTATAAAGGAAGACCAGTATGGCGCATTAGATTTGTAAAATCTTTGACCACATTTATTTATTTGTTATGCTGAATCTAACCATGTATTTAGATTTTTTATTTGTGCACCCCGCTATCAAATTGGTTCATATTGAGGTCAAAAGGGTCCAAAATTAAACTTTGTTTGATTTCATCAAAAATTGAATTATTGGGGTTCTTTGATATGCCAAATCTAACTGTGTATTTAGATTTTTAATTTTGGGTCCTGTTTTTTTAAATTGGTCTACATTAAGGTCCAAAGGGTCCAAAATTAAACTTAGTTTGATTTGAACAAAAATTGAATTCTTGGGGTTCTTTGATATGCTGAATCTAAACATGTGTTTAGATTTTTGATTATGGGCCCAGTTTTCAAGTTGGTCCAAGTTGGGGTCCAAAATTAAACTTTGTTTGATTTCAACAAAAATTGAATATATGGGGTTCTTTGACATTCTGGATCTAAACATGTATTTAGATTTTAGATTTTTGGTCCAGTTTTCAAGTTGGTCAAAATTGGGGTCCAAAATTAAACTTTGTTTGATTTCAACAAAAATTGAATATATGGGGTTCTTTGATATGCTTAATTCTACCATGTATTTAGATTTTTTATTTGTGGGCCCGCTATCAAATTGGTTCATATTGAGGTCAAAAGGGTCCAAAATTAAACTTTGTTTGATTTCATCACAAAATTTAATTATTGGGGTTCTTTGATATGCCAAATCTAACCGTGTATTTAGATTTTTAATTTTGGGTCCCGTTTTTTAAATTGGTCTACATTAAGGTCCAAAGGGTCCAAAATTAAACTTTGTTTGATTTCAACAAAAAATGAATATATGGGGTTCTTTGATATGCTGAATCTAAACATGTATTTAGATTTTAGATTTTTGGCCCAGTTTTCAAGTTGGTCCAAATTGGGGTCCAAAATTAAACTTTGTTTGATTTCAACAAAAATTGAATATATGGGGTTCTTTGATATGCTGAATCTTACCATGTATTTAGATTTTTTATTTGTGGGTCCGCTATCAAATTGGTTCATATTGAGGTGAAAAGGGTCCAAAATTAAACTTTGTTTGATTTCATAAAAAAATTAATTATTGGGGTTCTTTGATATGCCAAATCTAACCGTGTATTTAGATTTTTAATTTTGGGTCCCGTTTTTTAAATTGGTCTACATTAAGGTCCAAATTGGGGTCCAAAATTAAACTTTGTTTAATTTCAACAAAAATTGAATATATGGGGTTCTTTGATATGCTGAATCTTACCATGTATTTAGATTTTTTATTTGTGGGCCCGCTATCAAATTGGTTCATATTGAGGTCAAAAGGGTCCAAAATTAAACTTTGTTTGATTTCATCAAAAATTGAATTATTGGGGTTCTTTGATATGCCAAATCTAACCGTGTTTTTAGATTTTTAATTTTGGGTCCCGTTTTTTAAATTGGTCTACATTAAGGTCCAAAGGGTCCAAAATTAAACTTAGTTTGATTTTAACAAAAATTGAATTCTTGGGGTACTTTGATATGCTGAATCTAAACATGTGTTTAGATTTTTGATTATGGGCCCAGTTTTCAAGTTTGTCCAAGTTGGGGTCCAAAATTAAACTTTGTTTAATTTCAACAAAAATTGAATATATGGGGTTCTTTGATATGCTGAATCTAACCATGTATTTTGATTTTGGACATTGGACCATAATAGGTAAATTAACAAAATTGAAGTTCTTAGACCACATTCTTTCTGTGTCAGAAACCTATGCTGTGTCAAATATTTAATCACAATCCAAATTCAGAGCTGTATCAAGCTTGAATGTTGTGTCCATACTTGCCCCAACTGTTCAGGGTTCGACCTCTGCGATCGTTTCAAGCTGCGCCCAGCGAAGCATTTTATTGCATCTGTCCCAAGTCAAAATCCTCTGTCAATTGTTAGTATTGTTTTTTTTTTTGTAATTTTGGTTCATTTATATGTTTCGGAGTATAGTGTGACGACCATATTCACTGAAATAGTACACATTTTTTTGTTTAAGGGCCAGCTGAAGCCGCATCCGGGTGCGTTATTTTCTAGCTGTGTTGAAAACCCATTGATGGCCTTGGGCTGTTTTCTGCTCAATTGTCGGATTGTTGTCCGTTTTTATTTTTAATTTTAATTGGTAGCCTTTTCGTATATGTATCATTTGCACATTCTAAATTTTTCAATGCCACATGCAGTTTTCTTTTTGTAAGATACAACCTCTGTCATCATATCACCATGCATGTCAATAACTTTGTAATGTTATAAAAAAAAAAGAGAAACAAATCTTGAGCTTTTTAGAGTGTCTTTGCTCCAGGGTTAATTTTCATACTCATTTCCTATATTTTTAACTCACGTTAGCCAACACTTTCCGAATCGGTTCTATCTTTATTTGATAAGAGTACTGAAAAAGAACCTAATACTGTAATTATTATGTCAAGTGAACGAGTGATTTGATCTTTAGAGCTGATATACAATGTGGTTTCGTCCGCTAATTTATCTATGATTAGACTATGTTTTTTTTCTTCATCTAACTAGTTTTTTATCATTTCGATGTTATTATCTATTCTGGTTTCACAGGCTAATATTTTAATATGCAAAATTTCAACTGTTAAAACAATTAGAATGGCGCTTAAATGACATCCTTGAAGAATTCTCCTATGAATATTTAGTGGGTTAAACATCTATCCTCCATTTGCTGTACAGGCTTTAATATTTTTATACACGATTTTTACCAACTGTAACATTACTTTTGAATTCCATTCTTTAAACATGTGTTTTAATTTGATTTTTAATTTTAAACTACATGAAACATACATATGTAAGTATCAGGCTAAACTATCTATAAACTTGTAACATTTAAAAGCTAACATGAAAAAAAGAGATGACATAGAAATATACAATATCTCTGCAATTCATCAAGCAAAATTGATTTGATTTTAGGTGACACTCATTTGTAATAGAAAATTTGATTTTTGTAGAATTAAAATATATTACAAACATATTTTTATTGTTATTAATTCAGTATCTTGCAATTTACTGTACCAAAATTTAATACATTCGAAGTTATGAAATAACAAAAAAGATGTGGTATGATTGCCAATGAGACTACTCTCAACAAGAGACCAAATGACACAGAAATTAACAACTATAGGTCACCGTACGACTTCAACAATGAGAAAAGTTCATACCGCAAAGTCAGCTATTAAAGGCCCCGAAATGACAAATGTAAAACAATTTAAACGAGAAAACTAACGGCCTAATTAATGTACAAAGTAATAAATGAAAAACAAATATGAGAAACAGCAAAACAACGACAACCGCTCAATAACAGGATCCTGACTTGGGACAGGCACATATAGAATGTTGCGGGGTTAACCTAGTTTGTAGGCGCCAACCTCTCCTAACCTGAGAGAGTGGTGTAACAGTACACAATAAGAACAAACTATAAAACCAGTTGAAAAAGGTATTATTCATCAAATGCATACAAATAGAAATACATGTGGTCGACATTCCATCACGGTGAATCAATTCATGGTAGTGTAAGTATAACTTCCGAAAATAATAACGCACACTTTAACATCGAAAATCATAGCTGTATTCGTCATATATACATAATACATAGCCGTTTCGAAATTGTTCGAGGTTTTCTTGTGTACAAAATAGCATCATGTTGAATTGCATTATAGTATCACAATTCAATGAACAAAATTGACAAAACTATTCGCTTAGATATTCTAGGAAAGGCAGGATAAACGTAAAGTATAAAATCTATGTATAATTCCAACGTTTGTTCGGTTGAAATGTGTAATCCATAGTTCCTGTACTCAAAGTTCTCGATTGAAAAAAAAAACGACCTTTTTAAGTCTAATTAACGGTGAAAATACTTCAAATTTAATTTACATGTCTCTAGGAGTGTGAGCTATATTCATTCACCTAGTTCGTTCGTCTATCAAATATTTTCTTAACACTTGTTTGGATACTTTTGAGCAGAACGACTTCATATTTCATCAGCATCTTGACAATGATGAGTTTAAAAACATGAGTACTTTCCCGTCCCCGTACCCTTTTCTTCGAATTTGACCTACCGAATTCAACTTATCACCGGATTTCAACTGAGCAGTATCTGCTTACCCTTCCGTAGCACCTGAGACAACCCCACGTTTTTGGTGGGGTGCGTGTTGCGCAGTCTTTAGTTTACTATGTTGTTTTAATATGTACTGTTGTTTGTCGGTTAGGTTTTTTTCAATTTGTTTTTGCGCTGGCGTTTCAGTTTGTTTTTATCCTTCCCCTCTCTTTTCCGGATCTGTCAGACACTTAATCCTGTTTTCTGATTCTTTGAAGTTTTTAATGCAGTGAATGAAATTACAATTTATCTTCACACTTTTCTGAAGTACTGCATAACAGAACGACTTGATATCTGGCAAGATTGATAACGATAAATTGAAACGTATGAAGATCTGTCAGATGCCGGCTTTCTTGTTACCGATACTTTGAATTACGAGTGGGAATATGCTGATCACAACTCGTGAAATCATGTTTCAAATTACATTTAAGAGACAAAATTTTGCTAAACACACCTGCATCAAGGTCAAACCCTAAGATCCTCCTTATTATTAGTACTTATCCAGTATACAATTCCTAAAGATATGTCCATATTTTGGTTAATCAAATGAGGAAAACTAGCTATTAAGAAAAACTATGCATCCCTTTTTCTTCTTTATATGTCAATGCACAGAGCTTTATAACATTTCCATTAATAATCTAACAGGAAGACATAATGCATTCTAAGTAAATATTCTTTAATCAGAAATCCAGTATTTATAAACATAAAACCCTGTCAATATTTTTCAGGTCAAAACCATTGCAATATGCACAAATCCACCTATATTTTACAATTGCAGTCTAATTATACACTCAAAAATATGATATCTGTATGCAATGACCTGATTGACCGTAAAAGGAAACTATTAACAGACTGAAAATATTCATTATAATGTTTCCTATGTATCTTTTCAAACATTGTAACATCTCCTCAGATTTTTTTATAAAAAAGTTTTCACGTTGTTTTTATTTCTTAAACAAATACATTTACAAATTGCCTAACTCACGGTTTTGTAAGAGTAAATGAATATGGTCAACCGTCTTGCTCCCGTTCTGAATGAATACTCGAGGATATCCGTTTGGTTGTGTCTTTTATTTAATCCAATTTACCTATTAGTCATGTTCGCATAAGAAAGTGAAAACAAATAATTGTCTAAGACATTTAATCCCCGGATAAATGTCTTAAATTGCAAAACAAAATATTATCGTAACATTAGGTGTATAAAATGTCATTGTTCTTTCTAAAGAAACAAGTTTATCGCCAAGAATGTGTATTCCGATGAGGAATTTCTGTGCCCTCTATTTACCGTAGATATGTTTTTTTTTCTTCTGATTCCTGTACATTGCTAAACTTTATTCTTAAAATTTTCAAACGAAATTTATCAAACTTTACTCGCTCTTACCAAAACCAACATAAAGGCTGATCGTTGTCTCTCAAACGCAAATATATGATTACTTTATTGTTGGTTGCTTAACGTCCAGTGGCAAATATTTCATGCATATTAAGGACGAGAACAAATTAACAATAAATACAATAGGTAGGTTCTGTAATAGAGGCGTCCGGGATTAAGGTCGGAGAAATTTAGACTGCCACGGGAAATCAGGATATATTGGATAGGAACATAAATTTAGCCTTGCAACAGGTCACCTACGGACCCCTCAAAGAGTTGTTCCAAGGATTTTTAACGTGCAAAGAGCGTGGCACTCTCTTCACACGAGGCATCGGATTTAACGTCCCCATTCTGACCGGACGTGGCTGCAAATTTGTACATCCCGCACAGCCAAACGGACGCCCCACTTTAGCACGGGTTTTACTGCCGGTCGGAGGAAGACCAATGGTGACCATACTTCTACACCCCAGTAACCCTTGGGGGCCGCAAATATATGACAGTTATGATAATTGCAGTTGTTAAATTTAAATCTTTTTTCAAATTTTCTTAAAAGTAGCAAAACCCTCAGCCCCGTCTATCTAAATTGAAACATACATAACACAACTGCACTTTTACATTTAACTGATGCTCTACCAGGCGTTGCTCCGTTAACAATTGTTTTCCATATGTGTTTGCTTTGGGATAGATAACAAATGATGTGTTTTCTGTTGTACACATATACATTTGTTTATGCTATCCTATATTATAAAGTAATTTTAAAAACTTGTCGTCGATATATATCTATATGTCAACACTGATGTTGTGAGTTCGAATTCCGCAAGCGATAGGTGTGCTCGACGTCAATCTTAATCGACTAGGATTGTCAGATTTCCTACCGAAGGTCGGTGGCTCTCCAAGGGCACTCCGGCTTCCGCAACCAATAAAACTGACCGCTACAAAATAGCATAATAGTGCTGAAAATAGCGTTAAACACAAATCAATCAATCAATCAGTGAATCCTATATTGTTAAATGATTAAAACTTTTGTCGCTGTATGTCTAAATTTTCGTACGATGTTTTTCATGGAAGTTGTTGTCTATATTAGAGAGGTTACAGTGTGTGCTTCAATTTTGCACAGGAATTCGCTCATGTAAATAGTACTTCAACCTGACTGATATAAAAAATAAAACATATTTCTATATCAGTCCTTTGCAAAACGATTTCACAATGTCTTCCTTAAATGTTCTGGAGCTAAAGAAATTTTACATTCAAACTGATAAAATATTCACAAATTATAAGTAAGGTAGAACTGAACTTCAAAATTAAGACCCATTTTTGTTACACACATATCTTCTTTATCAGTTAAATTCACATATTTAACATATCATAAGAATCTTATTTGTGCGCAATAAAACGACCCCATTTTTCTGTACGGAATATTAAATTGTACGAAACCAACAATTTAGTAATTTCTTGTTTTGAAAGAAATGGCGATGGTAAGTATGTATAACTGCATTATTGATTTGACATTCAGAAATTATTGCGTTCATTTATTAATGCAATATTTGGAAAATGCTATATGTGCATCCAGCTTTTTTGGTTTTAGCTTTGGCCGTTCCTGATGCATGTGAGTTCAGACATGCAATTTGAACCCTTGATGTTTCATCGTGTTGTATCCATTTTGTATATCTTTCAATTGATATATTTTACTTAATTAGTATTTCACCTGGGAAGTGTATATTATTGAGATACAGTGTTGGAAGTATGAAAAATATCACAATATGAAGAAGAAGACATTGATATTTTGATAGGATATATAATCTTAAGTTGACTTGGAGATATGAGATTACACACTTACTGTAATGTGGGTTATTTAGTTACCGGAAACATTTACTATATTTCAATGTAATATTCAACATTTTTGGAGATTTTTGTTTGATTTTGAAACTAATTAAGGAATACTTCTTTATGTGGATAACAAAACTCTTCGATAAGCACGTAAGCCCAATACTTTACCATTAGAATAACGTTTGCACATTGAAATATTAATCGATTAGAATCAACAAATTTGTTGTCGATCAAAATGGCAAGAATTCTTTGTTTTAATTTGAACATCTAACTATTAAATTTTGTTATCGTTTTTACAAGATTTTTTGTAAAGTTTCTGATTCTTTGTTTAAACGAGAGATTTTTTTTCGTTCAACTTGTTGATGAAAGCAAAGGAGGAACAGACGCAATTATTGTTTTTTTTTTCCTAAAATGTCATCTTTTGTGAATGATGTAGAGATATATATGTAGTATTCCCTAATTTTCTGTTAAATCGAAAGAGAAGTCTATCGCGTACGAATATAAGAGAAGAAGCAGGAAGAAGAGCACACTTGATTTCACTTGAATATTTAAAGCACGTAACATAAACGTTCATATATGTTTACAATCGAAAAATCAAACATTTTGATGAAGTCAGAGTGAGATTTTCTTGTTTGAATAGTTGTTTTAAAAAGTATGAGTTGCCTCTTCCTAAAACAAGATATTTGATTGTAAGTTGGCCTTCGTTTTTTTTTATTAAAACAAAAATGTTACTTGTTTGTTCAAAATAGTCTTTTGTTAAACAATAGTAATTCAAGTGCTATGAGTACAGAGTCAAATTCTTCATACTCTTACACGAGGAAAGACACATAGAATGATATTATGTACGCTAACATAATATTTAAACTTAGTAAATATTCACGTCCGATTCACACCTCCTACAAGTAGAATGTTCCAGAGTTAGCATAAAGCCTAGTTTTTGATTGCAGATAAAACAACATGTTATTAATTTAGAAAAGGAGTTTCATGATGGAGCATTTGGTATACATTGCAATATAACATTGCTTGTAAAAAACTTATGTAACTTGTTTTTATTAAGAATAGTTAATAAATACTCACTTTATCTTCATTGGTTAAAATTCAGAAGGAACAGAAAACAGATCCGTGATTGTCAATTTGTTTTCTCTTTGTTTAACGTCGAGGGAGAAATGACGGATTTCCAAAAGCATTTCAATACCTAATTCCTTTAAAAGCAATTTTGGTTAAATGATTAACAAACAAAACACGATTTTCTCTGAAAGGAATACAACATACTTTGTCATAGAGGTAGGTCCGGTGTTTAGAATCACATTAGTTTTTGAAGAATAATATTCAAAGATAATATCAGTGTGAAATTGTCTCATTATGATTATTATTATATGACTATAATTGTTCTGTTTTCTCTTTGGCTAACAGCATAAGAAATCCTCTTTGATAAAATATATATTCACCGCGGCAAAAATACCGAGAGGTTAATATAAGATTCGAAACACCGTCTGTGTACCTGATTAAAGATTTTCCAAGGCAACGTTAATTACGTAGGTTTACTGGGGTTGATTAATCATTGTATCAAACTTAACAAAAGTCAATACATGTAATTGTATAATATCAACAGAAGTCAATGAGTTGTTTGATTTTTATTTTGATAAAATTTACTGTATTATTGTCATGTTTGTTTCCTGTAATGTTGACATACTTTCAAATAGTGTTATCTTAATATTAAATTGTGAACAAGACTAAAAATCAAAAAGGATTGCATGATATCTTTTACATTTGTAGTATCTGTGTGATCGAGAACGTTTGAATACAAATTTGCATTGTATAATGTTGATAATAGTTCGCAAGTCAAGTCAGTCATTGAATCTATTGAAACTTAATTGTGTGTATTTATTGCTGCGATACTGAACAGTTCACAAAAATGAGAAATTAGCTATTGCAATTTCAGGAGAAATGTTACATTCCATTAATGATATCAAAACTTAATATCTTGTTTTTTTATCATTCGTGCAATACAAGTCTTTTTCAAATTGATACAAACCTTCTGAATTTACATTATATATACTTATCATGCTTATTCTCTTTCTGTAGGCGATGTCTGCTGTTGTAAATATTGAGGAGTTAAAAAAACAATTCTTGGAATGTCCAATTTGTAATGAGCTTTTCAATGACACCAATCGGTATCCTCGTGTATTGCCATGTCTTCATTCATACTGTTACACGTGTTTGAAAAAATTGATTGAACAATCAAAATACACGTGCCCACTTTGCAAATTTGACTTCTTTGTCCAAAATGTAAGCGTTGATTCGTTTTCAAAAGATAACACACGAAGGGATCTTTTAAATTTTGTCCGGGCTGGTGACCACAAATCCGAAATACAATGTGATGAATGCGAAAATGAAAAAGCCTTTTCACGTTGTAAAGATTGTTTCAGATTCATATGTAAAACATGTCTAGCAGCACATAAAACAATGAAGACATTCAGTGGCCACGAAGTTTTTGCCCTAGATGATTTTGAATTATCGATGGAACATGTTTCTGAATTTAGACATGCTGGAATGTGTTCATTGTCAAACCATCAGAAAAATCCACTCACTTTGTTTTGCGCTGGTCCTCAATGTCAAAAACCTATATGTTATTCTTGTTGTCTTACAAGCCATATGCCAACAGATAACAAGAAGCATATCACAAGGGATATTGAAGAAGTCTATACTGAAAAAGTTAAACACATGATAGAGAAAAAAGACAAAATACTCAAGACGGAGAGAGAATTGGTTGGGCTTTCAAAAAGAATCAATGAACAATTAGATAGGCTTGCAGCAAACGCGGATACTACAAAGAAAGAAATTCAAGCAATATTTAAAATAGCAGTAAAAATACTGGAGCGTCGAAGAGATCTCTTAATAGAGAATACTGATAAGCTGACAAAGAACAAAATCACTCTTTTAAAGAAGCAAGATACAGAAGTTATCAATTTCATTGAAACCATCAGGGACGCGTGTAGATTTCTTGATCAAACTGTTGCTACCAAAAATCAATCAGCATTTCTCCTTCTTTCAAAAACCATCTCAGACCGATTAAACCATTTACTAAACACTAACTTTGATACCGAACCACGCGACTGCAATCCTGTTTTATTTTCCAAAGCAAATTTAGGAACTAAATTGCAACGATTTGTTGATACATTTGGAAATATATTTTCGTCGTTTGCATTTGGCCCTAAAACAAAAGTCACATTTCCAACAGCAATTGAGACAGAAAAAGATTTTGACATTATAATTGAACTTTTTGATTACTATGATGCACAGGTATTAGATGAAATGATAATTACTTGTGTACTATTTGAAACGGCGGACGCACCTCTGGCATCCGTAGGAGAATTGTCATTTACTCATATGGAAAATGGAAAATATAAAGCATCTTGTAAAATAATGGATACTGGTATCCAGAGAATTATTAAAGTAGGAGTGATGATGAATAGTAGAGACTTTTATGTCGTTGAACTGAAAACAATGATTGAAATTAAGCCGAAAGAACAGCAAACAAATAGTAAGATTAAAATTATTCACTACCTTTGTACACTGGGTATAGTATATGCCTTTGACAACTATAGTCAGATTCTATTTTATTGAATACATTTAAAAAAAAATCGACCTGATCTTAATCAAAATTGTCAAAATGATTTAACGTATAGTTATCAAAGATTAGAACATACGTCAATGAAACAGCAACAAGGTTTAACAAATGATTTTTTAGCTTCTTGTGCCTTTTTTAGTTGTTATGTGTAAGTTCTTGCCAACAACCATGCAGAACACTTAGGCTTTAAATGTAGAACTGCATCACATTTATTTGAAACGATATGTTTCTGATCAACAAGTAGATATTTAGTTGATTTCCATCAAACATGACTTTTAATCAATCATCAGACATCAAGTAATATGGGGTATGAAAACTGAAACAATAATTGTAAAACATTTTGTTGGCTTGATTAACCTCCTTTATGTGCGCTTAGTCTCACAGTTTAGAAAGTAAAATCGATTTAACATTTTTGGACATCAAAATAAGTGTAACTAAACTATTTTGACTTTCTCAAATTGCAATATTTCATACCGTTCATGCTACCGTCAAATCAGGTGACACGTTTCGTTTGATAATGTCATCACAATATCTTGTACCTCCCTATGAGCGAGTCCCATTGATTGGTCCATTGAACGATTGATTTGACTACTTTTATTACTTGGTTTCAAAAGTTTGGGTTTTGACATTCCTCAAAGGAAATCCAGACGAGCACACGAAACTAGTGAAGAGTTAGTTCTTTTTGGACATTACTATAATTCTAGTAAATTGAGCCATACTGCTTCAATCTGAATTCTTTGTAAGGAAAGGTTATTCCCTCTACGGAGAATACCGCATATGTAACAGGTTTTGAAGGAGAAGAAAAGTGTAATTATCTTATTTTATGTTTTAACAAGAGATAGCTGTGTTACGCAACAAGGGTTGAATAACAATACAGGAAGTAGAATACTATCTACCATAAAGTCTGAAAAACATCAATGTTGTTTGTTAAACTGTCATGATAATAACAAGTTTATGGTCACAAAATTGAACTTCCTTTGTTTATGTTGTCTTAATATCCCCAGTAATTACTATTAATCCAGAAGTTTCGGAATTTGATTAAAAAAAAAAAGATTTTGGCGGTCAGAGATGTTTGAAAAATAGACAGCTTTTTAAATTACCAAATGATGACGATTGAGAAAGCCAAGTAGAGATCGAAGAGTAGGGTGCACTAATTCTTTTTTTGTTCGGAGGAGTAAGTTTGAGGTGTATTAAACTGTGCCAACTCAGCAAAAAGAGAGCCGTTTTCCGATGGAAAAATAAAAACGTATTCTTGTGTGTGACATAGTGTCTTAGCCGTGTATGTATTACATTATATAATTAGTTTTAATTCGGAAATTGTTACCAAAACTCTTTCAAATAAAAACATTCACATGACACCTTGAAAGTAATGATTTTGTTCTACATGTTCTATGAACAAGTCTTTTTGTCCTAATTTCTTTTTAATATGCAAAGTTTGTTTTCTTCATTGAAATTGTTGGTTTGTCTGATAGAAACTTCTGAAAGTCTGCGCTCATCATCCCTAATTTGTTAATCAAAGCGATGTGTCAGTATTTTATAATTGATTTTTTAAGGGTTTTCAAGATTATATATCCAAACAGAATATCAAGGGATAGATGATAGACAGGCTGACCGTAAGTTTTATAGAAATATTATCTTTTTTTTAAGACAAAGCAATTACATCTACAAGTATTTGATAAAAACACATTGGGAAGCAGTAATCAGTAATAAGCACTGAACTAGTATACATATTTGTTTAGGGGCCAGCTGAAGGACGCCTCCGGGTGCGGGAGTTTCTCGCTGCATGAAGACCCATTAGTGGCCTTCGACTGTTGTCTGCTCTATGGTCGGGTTGTTATCTCTTTGACACATTCCCCATTACCATTCTCATTTTTATATCGAATGTTAAAATTAAAAAAAGATTTAAAATATGCCAAAAACTACAGGAAATAATATGATTTGTTATATATATAAACAAAACATTAGAATAATAAAGGCAAAAGGGTTTACCGATGTTTCAATTGCATAAACTGAATATAAAAAAATCAAGATTACAAACACAAACTGTGGATATCGTTTGAAACAAAAGGAACGAGACCGGGTGCTTCGACAGGTTATGTGTCAACTGCTATACCTGCATCAACCGACATGCGAATACATACTCAGTAAAAATGTAACAATCATGTAATAGACACTATTGATCAAATTACAATATAAAAACCAAAGAACAACAATTATTACAAAATATGCCAAAAACAATTAGTTCATACCAAGCTTTTTAAAATCTGCAATTAAAAAAAAACGTGCACGTGTTATGACGTAGATGATGTAAAATACCGTTAAATCACGTCTCGTTTGGTATCACTCCGATATCATCTAGTTCCATTTGAGTTAATCTTATTGGTAGGTCAATGGGTCGATAATGGGTTTGGTATTAAGAAACAATAATTATTGCAAAATATGTCAAAAATATATAGTTCATACCGAGGTTTTTAAAATCTGCAATTAAAAAAAAAATGCACGTGTTATGACGTAGATGATGTAGAATACCGTTAAATCACGTCTCGTTTGGTATCATTCCGATATCATCTAGTTCCATTAGAGTTAACCTTATTGGTAGGTCAATGGGTCAATAATGGGTTTGGTATTAAGAAACAATAATTATTGCAAAATATGCTAAAAATATATAGTTCATATTAATTTTTTAATCTGCAATAGAAAACAACGTGCACGTATTATGACGAATTAAGGCACGGGAAACGTTTAACTTAAACATTTCCTTTTAGGAAATAATATAACATGCTTTTTTTTTCATTCATCCCAAATTACTGCCGAAAAACATCCCTTTTTGCATTGACTATGCTAATAAGCGTTCGGCATATTTATGTTTTGGTCGTTTCACAATAAGAAAACAAAATGGAAAATTACGACCTTCAGCAATGTACAAAACCAAAACCGCATGGCAAACTATATGTACTGAAAAATGTTTCAATCTTAGATGGATGTTTTGTTGTGTTTCCTTCGGTTTTAGTTTGTAACCCGGATTTGTTTTTGTCTCAATCGATTTAGGACTTTCGAACAGCGGTATAATACTGTTGCCTTTATTTGTTTATAAGTTGTTATTGGCTTTGAACTAGCTGTAAGTTTTTGTACTTAGTGTCTTTGTTGTTGTTGGGATGGTTAGATATCCTGCCACGTAAGGTTTGTATTTTTGCTAGACGTTTTCTGCCTAGTCTCGATCTGATTAGTTAAGCCCTTTCCGACTGATTATTATGTGGTAGTACTATTACACACCTGTCCCATTTTGTATGTGCCTGTCCCCATTCAGTAGCCAATGATTCAGATGTTGTCGTTTGTTGCTGCAAAAATCTGGGGAGCTCAGTATTTTTTCAGAATTGAAAATTTAATTTTGATTAAATTCAAGAACTTATATATTAACATAGTATTTGTATTTGACAACTTATTTGAATTTCGAATTTCATTGCTTTCAAGAAAAGTTACATTGAACAGTGCATAGTGGTTGTTTTCATTTCACTTTTGTACATTGATGAATCGTTTTATTCATATTTCCTCTGAAATAAGATGCACAAGAATTCAGACTAAGGCATGCTTGTGTAGCACATTCTGAAATTGTCCATACTATTTGTATTGGTACTTTTAATTAATTTGTAGTCGAAAAAAAGTAATAACATCTGACTATTGCCCAGATTTACATATGTTTTCTATAGGTATCTATTTACGATCAAATACACAGTTGACATATCGGTCTAAGTAGTGAGCCGCCATATTCTTTGGCGGGAATCCATAAATTTCTGATTAATGCAATGCAATCGATATGAAAGAACACCTACCTCAAAAACTCAATTCTAATGATATATTATCCAAATTGGAAATGTAAAAGTAACGGAATTACCTTCAGCCTGAGAGTTGTCAATCGTTTGACGTCATGTTTTGTCATGATATAAATACGCAAAGATCATTCATGAAATTTCAAGGAATTTTATTCTATAATAAATTTATACATTGTTTGATGCTCTGATGCATGTTTTCTATTTGTGATGCATAAAAACAGTTCTGTAATGCTTTTGCTTCATTATTTCAACTTCTAAGAATCCCAGTAACAAATAGATATATTCTTGACTTTACTGTTCGTGATATCCGTTGAAATCATATTATATAAAAGTTGCAAAATAACAAAAATACATTTTTTAATGCTTCTGTTTCCAGTTTCACGTATGACAATAGACACTACGACACTCACCAGATATTGGAATGATACAAGATAAAAAGGTGATTTTTTAAATTATTTTACTTTTTATTTCGAGACAGCAATAACATGAGGTTTTTGATGACGGAAAAGTGAAAAGAAGTACTTGATATCCAAAAGTAAACCAATAATATATAGCAGAAAAGAACAAAATACAAAGCGTGTTTCTAAACAATCATAGTTCAAACAAAGACATGCAACACGATTGATGCGAGTAGCTACATATGTTCCTATTTTTCTGTTTTTGTCTTGTATCAAGATTTATACTTTTTGTCAAATGTCTGACGGATCGATATCAATTCAAACGAACTGAAAAACTCAGTTTTTCTAGGAAATCGTAATCTGTAACATGTAGAACATATCTATTGGCAGTGAGCCTATTGTTATCAAAATTGTTAAATCTAAAACATGTTACAATCTGTTCTTTATAGTTTCAAAAAAATGTTTTGCGTTTTTATGTCAAATGCTTTATCTGTTGATTTATCTGTTTATTTTTGTTATTGACCTTTGTCGATATAACTACTAGTAAACTGTCAGTTTCCGGTGTTAATACCGATAATAATTATGATGTATACCAATTTTTCCTGCATTATCCGTTTATAAAAATTCAAACAAATTATAAAATTATGTTTTCTTCGAGCAAGTTAGCCTAAGATAACTACTTGTAGAGACTTTCCAAAAAAATTTCACATCGTTTTATTGGCAAATTAAGTGAAGCGTGTCGTAATATCTTATAATTTCCTTTTTCAT